TCATTTTTTTGTGAAAAAATAGAGTTGGACCATACCATATTCCGTTGATTATAGCAGACTGGATGCTACCACGAAGCGGAATGTGCACTTACTGGTGTGCATCGTCAGGGTTATAGATGTTCCTGCCTGATAATCCTGACTAGATCAGAGGATTGTGGTAAAAAAGTATGCATTTAGATCCTAAGAAAAAAAACGGCATTTCACATGCACGGGGACTTCTATCAGTCCGAAGTGTTTGTCATTTGGTTTCCAAATGCTCCAGAAAATGATGGGCAGGGTCTTGAGACTCTAAGGTACCAGAGAATCGTATATCTCGGCGTTAATATCACGGCCGCCGAACAGTTTTCGGATTCCGGGAAGCAGTACAAATTGCCTCCACCAGGAAAAGATAGGAAATTAAAAAACTTCACTGATTTCTATACCGGCAGTTGTTACGGTAGTTTGCGAATCCGGTGCAATACGAAGGGCGTCGTTTGGAACTGCAATCATAAGTTTGCCTACCAATTTTATCAAAGCCCAGGTTAATAAAGAATTTGATCCTGTGCCATTTTCAATAGGACTTAGACACAAGTATATTGACGGACGTTAGTGACACTAGGTCGGGTCGGTGCTACTGCCAGTTAAAGGAAAACCAGCAGGTCGTCGCGGACGCTAGCTGTTTTTTGATCGACACGGAAAATAGAGTCCACTTATTGCATTAAAAAATCATGAGGTCAAAGTTGACTCTTTGGGTCAAACCAGACCTTATAAAAATATTTAATTCAATTTAATAAGTAGATTTAATAAGGGAACCCAATCAGTATTTGGGGTCATCTTTACGTAGGGCACGATTAATGCGGACGCGGTTGTTTTGTTACTGCTTTTCGCGATGCTGGCGTGGTAAGACGTTCTCGAGCTGGACCAGGTATGGAGAGGACAGAGGAAAGGCCTGCGACTGAACGCGGGAACTTTTTCCAGCTTGGAAAAATGAATCTGTGTTCCTATGTACTTGCTTAAAGATGGTCCGGCGTGCAGGGTTAAAAAAGAAGGAATTCCGCGCCCCAGGCGGAAAAGGCTGTAGCTGGTGGTAGATAGAGGAAAGCGCTGCTATCCAGAAGATGCTGCAACGCATGAGGAAACATCTCTTTATAAAAAACGAATTTAAGACACTAGTCCAAGAGATGGTCCTGCTCTGCGAGGTCTGTAAACGGCGGAACCGAAATTTGCGGGGTGCGAAACGCTTTATTCAGTGCCCGCTTCCCTTCAAAGAGGTAAGTCTGGACTACAAAGCTCTCCTGAGATTCCCTGGCTAGCAAGGCTTTCCATGTTTCCATCGTAATAGTCCACCATTGTCCTTCATTCGAGCGTTAGAAGCTATGTAGCGGGGCTCCAGCGTGATTGCAATGTACAACGCGACCTGTTTCACATCGCGAGGGAGATGATGGACTACTAACCATATTGAACAAATTCGGACAGCTGTTGAACATCCACGAGGCAGCTGTCTTATCAGGTGTATGGTCTAGACGTAGGAAGCTTAGATGCCGAGGAATTTAGCTCGCTTGCGGACCGTCAAGTTTGGGATCGGCAGTGACGCATAAAAATACAGTTTAAGCAGAAAACACTTGCCCTGCGGGGTTCCAAGACCGGCCGGGGATACCAATATAACTCAAACAGGCACCATTACGGTGTCCTGGAAATTATATATATACACATACATATTTTCTGAGTGAAACTGTACGAACGATTTGCAAAAGAGGCAGACTCGCCAGACACCAATTATAGTTTCTTCTGTCACTAGAAGACAGTCGTTTGTCATGAATCCTTGCGATGATGCCAATCCCAATACGCATAGGCTGGCAGGCCATTGGCGAGCAGTAGTGATCGATGTGTTACAGAAAGAGATGAAACTTTTTCCTCTTTTTTACTGAGAAAAGGCAGCTTGTGCGGATCCGGTCCGAAGAAATTACGATCAGTATTTTTGAGGACAGTTTTGCATCTTTTACTTCTCATAGGGGTCACTGCGGCGAAAAAAAAACTGCACGTTGGACGGCTTACTATTTTACGAATAGAAAAATTTGGGGTCAAACGCATATAAACGCAGTCGCCAAATCTGCTCCAACACAGTAACGAAGTGATAAACTTGATGTAGACGTCGAACAGAGTCAGACCCGACAAAGCTTTCAAAGCGACGTCTTAGGGGTTTAAGTAAATCCGTGCGGGATTCCGCCAACGGTGCCTGCGAAGCTTGTGTTCGCAAGCTTCGGCATTCCAGATTGGCAAGATCTGTGAATAGCGAATCCGTCCAGACTCCAGATGGAAGTTATATTCAATCTATGGAACCTGAGGAGACCTGCTGACGGTATAGCGTGACCAAAATATTATGAACTTATATATATAATCTCTTACAAATAAATATAGGTCAAGAAGGTAGAAGTCCAGAGGTTTCGTGGCTATAACAGTTGCTCGTTCTTTCCAACAATAAAGCTTCTCGGCTTCGTATGGAGCGTTTTTATCTATTTTTCAATTTAATATGTAGCTGTTATAATTTTGCGTTTTTCACTAATTCTCCAACTGTTCTCTTCTAACCGCCGTGTCTGCGTGAAGTGAATTTCGAGGTTTGTGTGTGGTGTTTACTCTGGAATGCTCCGAAAACACAAAAAAATGAAGATAGCAGATCCATTCCGTTGAAGGCTCAGCAAAATGCAGTAAGACTCATGCCCGCCACTCTCACCAGTCTTCCCGCATCTCGCTATCTCACTCGTTGGAAATGCAGGCAAGCGAACCATTCTACAGCAATGGACGATGCTACGCTCTATCTGCCTGCCTGCCTGCCTGCCAGTGGCAACGAGTACCGAGTTCTAGCCACTGCCGAGCCAAGCGTCAGTACCATGTGTGTACTATTCTATAAAGCACTGATAACATCGACGACAAGAGCAAGATGACGAATTGGTACGAGAATGTAATATTACAATTAAAATCGACTGGGAAGGAGTTAGGGGCATCTCCATAGAGATCTACTGTGGATTTTGATGTGGGAGGGAAAGTGCTCATAGTTAGAGTTGGTGAAATTTGAATGTAAGCGAGACACTGCCCGAAACGATTTCTGTCCATTGTTCTATCGCTGACTACTGGCAGTGCGCCAAAGAGCGCGAAAGAGAAGGGGAGAGAGATCTTGTGGGTGGAGGGGTGACGGCGAGCGTGCGACGTGTTGGAAGCTGGAAAACAGACGACGACACACAGCGTGTATAGCCGCAATACATATGCAGATATACGAGGGTGTGGCGGCGCACAAGAGCTATAGGACAGTGTTGCAAAGGAAGAGACGGTTTGTTGAAAGGATAAGAATAGGCTAGCTTGGATCTTTGCAAATGCGCATACGTTAAACGAGAATACAAAGAGATACATTTATCATAAAATGCAAGTTAACTCTGTTTTTGTGCATGAATACGTTGGTGTGCAATAGAGCATATTGTGTTTGTATGTAAAGAGGGAGAAAATAGAGAAAGCGCTGGAAAAGGTAGCCAAGTACATGCGGCTTCCGTGGAGCCTTCTTCCATAATGCGAGTTTTGTTAAATGCGGACTATTTATAAAAAAAAAAATACCCTAATCTAATCGATGAATATAGTATAACTACGAGTAATATCGAATGAATTTAGTATTTAGTAGCTCAAGACAAATCCAATGCAGGTTCCCGTATTACTGTACGATGTTACATAGAGAAAAATTGGTGGGAATTTATTACGTTTTATTAAGAGGAGTGTGAATAATCGGATTTGCAGGGATCAGCAGACCAGTTGTTGCTCAAGAGACTCAATGATGATTGCTCAAATTTCATATCGCACGCTTTTGCCATAGAGCGTGCGCTCTGTTAATATAGAAGCACGAGATGCACCTAGAACTCAGTACGAATCTATCGCTACCGCCGTGCTACCTAACCATAATCAGTTAGGAGTGTTTAAAAATGTCTTACTTTCGAGGAATTATCTATTGTGTACGTGTTATTATGTAGGATGTGATCTCCAACTGAGCTTCCTGCGTCATGCAGAATTGCATGCCATACTTCAGTGAGAAATTTTTATGGCAGCATTTGAAAGATCAAGTACGCTAGACAGCATAGAACGAGACACGGCGCTCAATGCAGCCTCGAAGTACTCTTTTATTTATAAAGCCGGACATTATTTGATAACGCGAATCTGCAAATTGAAAGGATAATGTAACAAGGAAGTAGAAGTAGATAAGGACGCAGCTCCTGGGCGGAACGATGAGAGCATATGCTACTGCGAGAACGTTTTGTGCCACACGCTGTCATATAGCAGAAATCTCAGCAGCAATTCAAAACGCGACTTGTTAGGCATAGACGTCCATTCTTCGATAGAGCAGAGAAGTAATCGATGAAAACGAGTAATGGCACGCCTATGCCATCATGCACTTGCCAAAATCGGAGTTGGTATTTTCAAGAGGCTTGCTTGTTGTTATCAGGTTTTTATGCAATGCCAAATGTCCACCTCTCTAGTACCGCCATGAAAAAACGAAGATTGCACACAAACAATATCATGCTGAAACCGAAAGCCAAACAAAATAGCTGAATTGACGATCTTTACAAGGCCTAACTTCATCCGGATGTCTTGCAAAAGGCCCTTCAGTTAACATTGAAGTGTATTTCTTGCAGCTTGAATCGGAATCGGTAACGTTGGGAGTTGATAGGTACACATAAATAGCTTACTTCGCATAAACAGCCTTGTATCGACCTAAATTAAGCTACGTAACTTAATTTTAGTAATTAATTAATTTTTTGAGCAGTTTCGAACCATTATTAGCCGATAGTAATGAGTGCAATAAGTACACTACATCCATTTGGTCATTAGACGTTCATAAAATTTTATTGTACACGGGTAAAATCGTGACTGAACCAATGAAACTAGTATGGATACATATTGTTTCCGCTTACTTGTACATACCCGTTTATCATTCGCATAACCGTTAACCTGTACTCGTTACATTGTGTACATTACATCCGCAGGTCTCCTGTCTCGGTGGCGATCATCGGGAAAATCTCGCTCGATCGAGGGCGGCGGTAGTAGCCGCGGCATGCATGGGAAACGGACGCCTTCAACAACGATGGACTTCACCGGTGGGTTGCCCTTTAACGACGAAGACGATTCCGAACTCGACCTACTACCAACTTCGCAGCGGCCTCAAAAGCATCATCTCGCTCAGGTGTCCCGACCAACCGACCAGAGTTACACGCAGATGCGGAGACAGCGTTTCCAAGGTAACTATACGAGTACAAGGGTATACGATGAACCCCTCGCGTCATGCCAAGGCTTTTCCTGTCTAGGTACAATTACTATACCAACGGCATAACACTATCAAGCGCTTTCTCCTGCTGCCGCTGCTGCTTACGGTGTACAATGAAATCGCTTGTTGCCCTAAAAAAAGATGACTCTGAACTTAATTTGCAGGGCACAAAGTCGTTCATAATATTAATGAAGCAATATTACGTATATAAATATATAATCCCGGCCTAGACGGTTATATACAGACGCACATACCTGACACACGACTGGTTGGATCCTCTGTGTGAAAGATGTTCATATTTAACAACTTGTGCTGTTGTACCGTCATATCCTGGAATTTGAAAGTGCGTTCAACAAAACAGCCGTTCCTTTAGGATATGAACAGTAATAGACTCAATATCGACTATGAAAACAGGTCATACATGAAACCTCAGGTTTTATTGACCCAGCGAAAAATCTGAAGGCAGACTCTCTTCCTTTAGAGCTTACCAATTTTTCCTTTAGCTTTTTGACGGTTAGATTTGCCTTTTTTGGGTTGCCAAATTTGAGAAAATGAGGTGTTTCTCGAAAGCTGAAAGCAATAGACAGGACCTAGAGAAAAACAGCTTTAGGCTCGACGATGCAAGCCTAAAACGCGCATAAGGAAGTTACTTTAAGCTGTCAGTGATGGTGAACTACTAAATAATGACATGTTAGTACCTACTAAAGTCGCTCTCATGTTGAATACAGTACATATTCCAACTTAATACACACTTAAATTACAATCAAATGACACTTTCACCTTGAGGAAAAAACTATTTTGTGTAAGATGAAGCTCTGTTTGAACCTCTAGTTAGCTTCAGGTGTAGTTAATAAAAGACCGCCATAATTTAGACCGACGTCCCCAAAAAAGATAGCAGAAATAAACAGCCCCTATTTGAAGGTTTGTAATGTTTTCAAAGAAATGCTCAGAGTTGAAATGTTCGAACATTTGCGGTCGATCTGTATTGCTCAAGGGCAATAGTACAATATAATTAACTACAGAAGAACGTCGAAACTAGACTAGTCTCTCTCACTCTCTCTAGGGTTCTAGTCTGGTTTTCAGCGATGTTGGTAACTTCACCTGGCAAACCCACCGTCTGGACGACGTATATGGATCAAGTAGGCTTCCGATCTATGAGATGATTCCGTTTCGGAGACGTGCATCGATCGAGTCAGCTTTTGCCCGACGCCGCTTCAAAGACGCACATGTTGTAGAAGTCAGCCGCCGGATCAACTCATTTTTACAATGGCTTGGAACCAGAGTGAATAGTTTGGCCTTGGCCGTTGGCCTTACTTTTCTCCCGAATTACTATTAGAGTAAAGCGTCGGCAATACGTGTAGACATATAATGAGCGTGCATTGAATGAAGTCGAACTTCTTGTCAGACTGAAAGACACCGCCAGTAACAATATAAATATTTGCATATTTAAGTCACGCAGTAACAATTTAAGCGTGCTTTCGACTGAGGTGGTTAGTTTCTGCACGTCATTTTAATGCGCCTTATTCTTTGTATTGACAAGCCCGAACCTACTGGAGGTACTGAGGCAATGACATCTAGTTTTTAGGCGACGAGACGCGTCTACTACAGCTCCTTTTCTGTTATTGTTAGATATCTAAAAACGGTAAAAAAATAAAAGGTGACAGGCGTTT